GGTTTTAATGGCAGATGTCAAATGTCTCAAGGTTGAAATATTCTGAAAAGAATGCTTTGTCAAAAATACTGATTGCTTGAATTTAAAATTTAAGCTAATATAGCAGTTTTGATCATGCTCTTGTCAGAAAATAATTTTAGATCTGCAGTGGAATTTCTAATGAAAATAGAAGAGCATCCTATTCTGGTGTAATCAAGTGGTGATTAGGGCAATAATTATAATATGGGAAAAGAAAGGTCAGGTTTTTCCACAATGTGCATAGAAAAATAGACTATCAGGAGAGATTGAGACTCAACCTGAAAAAGTTCCTGAGATAATTTTTCACCTTGGGTGGTGAAGAATTGCACAGTAAATCAGCTTTGCAAATAACATAATAGATAACTATCGGTCCATAACATTTTAATCCAATTTTTTATTTTGTTTTCCTGTAGAGACATCATGAATAATAAAGTATTTTACCAACATCCAAATCTCATGAGAGCTTTAGGCATGCATGAAACTGTCATGGAAGTGATGGTAAATGTGCTTGGTGGAGGAGAATCCAAGGTAAAGTAATTCACCGTTAGAAGACAGAGATTTTAGAATATAGCTGTTCAAAGCTTTATCCTGTAAGGTGCTGAGCAGTCACTGGGAGGTACTGAGACCATAACATCTTACTAATTTCCGTTAGCACAGTAGTTGACTAAGTTTTTAGAAGAATCTATCCTTCCATTCTGGAGGAAGATATAATTAGCATTGTAATTTCAGATGCTTTAAAGAAAAAACTGCAAATAGCACTTGATATGCTTACTTGGTTTTAAAGGGGAGATCTATCTAGAAACTAATTAAAAGTCGATGCAGTATGACTTTGTGAATCTGAGCATTGACATTCTTTCATGTTTCAATCTAGAATTTATGTGTGATCCCAGCCCTTGTTTTTTTGGGCTTAAGGAGTCATTTACTCGCTCAGAAAGCCCTGTTGATTCCAGGGTGAAACATAAACAGTTAACTTAACTGAGGTGCAATGAATACAATGCATAAATATTAGTGTTTTTAAAGTCTGTTACATAAAGATTTTCTGCAAGTTTTATGCCTGTCTTAGAGTTTAAGCTTCACATGGTTTTTATTTGATTCTTAGGAAATCACTTTCCCAAAGATGGTGGCAAACTGCTGTCGTTTTCTATGTTATTTTTGCCGCATCAGCAGGCAGAATCAAAAAGCTATGTTTGATCATCTTAGCTATTTGTTGGAAAACAGCAGTGTTGGCCTTGGTAAGTAAGATTCTAAACCAAAAACAAAATTGTAAAACTTTCTGCTGATTTATTTTTATATATATGTATGTATATGTATATATATATGTGTATGTATATATATAAAA